TATATATATACTGTGTGTGTGTATATTTTTATATAATTTTTTATCTTACATTTAAATAAACGCAAATAAAAAATATATATATAGGTGAGCTCGAAGGAATAGAAACACCGCTGAGGACTTATGCCCTATGTGGCTAAATGTATTAAGCATTACATGTTATGTGTCTGTTTTGCCAAATATTAACCAAGCAGATTTTCCCTTTGATTTGCATAAATAAACAACCTGCAACTGTAATCTGATCTGATCCTATAAGACGTTGCAGCCAATTCTTATTTAAGGCACTTTGATAAATAATGCCGGTGCTCGTACAGACATTTAAGCTATGAAACAGTAAACCTTTTAGCTGTTCTGTTGACACAAAAGAACTACTCAGAGCTGATGATTGCAGATTAGTACCCGAGCCAGTGTACAGCAACAACAAAAGTTGCCGTGTTTGACTGATCAAAAGACTAACATGCTCTGATGAATGGCGAAAATTGTTGAAGTAGATCTTGAATTGAATGGAACATTTGGCAGACTTTGTGTAAAAGTACACTCTGCTGCTGTAGATTATGTTTAACATTCTCATCTTGTTTCCTTTATGGTCTCTTTATGTCTTACCTGTAAAAAAAAAAGAAGTTCTTAAAGGGTCAGTCAACCGAAACCACTACTTGCTTCTTTTATCTTCTGGAGAACTTGGCAGATATTCTTTTGAACATTCTTGTGTTCTTCACACCGATGACATTAGAGAGTTGCAATCCTTCTGCTGATTGTCTTTAATGTAGAATACATAGCCCAAGAGGAAGAGAGGAACTCCTTTGTAGTGGCTGCAGCTTGTGGAGACTTGGGATCACCAGTACAAAGGTTTTACCACCAGAGTCCCAGAAACATGTAAGTCAGTGGGGAACTTCATTATTCAATATCCAAATATAACCACTCTTCAGGTTAAATGGCTCGAGCCTTTATAAACATGAATATTATTTTTAATGCACACCATGGTATTCTATTAAAGGTGAATAATATAAATATAGTTCTATGTGTAAAGAAAGATACTTCTTGAAAAGCTGACATGTAAGAAACATCTTGGAGGACATCAGTGGCATGATTCTGTAAGAAGATTGTCTGTGACTTTGTTACAGTCTGTAAACATTGTTGTATTTTTTTTACAACTTTCCAATGGCAGTTATCCTGTGGACTTAATATATTTGTGGACTGGAGGATTTTATTATAACATGTTACATCTGCTCCAGGGATCTGGAGGGCAGACAATAGAATGGGCTTCTTTTCTGTCTCCCACGAGTGCCTTGGGGACTGGGGGGCATGCTGTAGCCCACAGCTTAGTTGCAGGAGAGCTATATGTTGCATGAGTGGATTGGAATACAGTGTTTGGCCTTTGTGTTTTCGATTGGTGAATGCTATCTTCATCATCATTCAGAACATTATGATATACACTTAAATAAAAAATACTGTTAAAACGGCCCTGATAGTTGTCTAAATCACATTTCTCTTCCTCAAATTTTGTAAATGTAAAAAATCTATACAAGATTATTATCCTTGATTGGGGTCTGGTATGCATTTTAAAGGGGGACCCTGTGCAAAAAAAAAAGTAAAAAAAAGATGTG